TAATATTCATTCAAGGTTTCCAGCATTTTCTTATGGCCTTCTATATTTTTTATCTAGATATTCTTTAGAAACACTCAACATTTCTTTCATAATGCTTGTCATTTCATTTTTTAACTTGAGAAATTATTTCTGAAGTCTGATTTCCTTTATAGCTTCACAGAATTGTTTCTTTCAGTTACTATTACTTCAGAAAGTTCAGTTGTGTGCCTTCCACTGTGTGTCATTTCAGTGTCTCCTGGGTTTGTTCTTGGTGGTCTGGAAGACTGATACTGCATCTAGCTCTTCCATTTTGTCATTTTCTTCGGGGACTTGTGTGGCTGGCCAGGCACCCTCTTGATGGATTTCACTGGTATGCTGTGCCAAGCAGAGCTTCAATCCACTAATATCCTTGTTGCTAGCCATGGAATATTCCCAAATTATGGCCCCAGAGCCTTGTGTTCTGAGAACTGTAAAGCTGGATAGGCATTCCCCAGATGGACTGAGAAGAGACACTGTGCTGGCCGGAGCTCAGATCTCCCATGCGGCTAACAAGGACACATCCACAGAGCATGGTGTGGGGTGCTTGTGCCTGGCTAGGTAGCGTGTAGAACCTCCATGACGCATGTGGCTAGCCTGGATGTACCAACAGAGTGTGGTACCTACTTCAAGGTGTTTAGAGCCTCTGGGCCATGTGGCTAGCCTGTGCACACCACTGGTGTATATTCACCCCTTTAAATTCTTTGCTCATTCACATAGTTATCTATGGGACACTGCATGCAAGGCCTTCATGACACTGGAGAACCAAACATATTCAGACAAATTCTGCACAGGTGAAGCAGTGCCAAAATAAGGGAGCAAAAAGAAAGAAATAACCATTACTCTCATTTTGGAACATTCCTTTCAGATAGCATCAGAGATTCAATCAATATCGGGTGGAAATTAATGAGCTGAATTAACAGAAATGAGAGTCGTTATGGTTTCATCTGACACAGATTCGAATTTCAAACAAGAGCCTCCTCTACATCTAACCCTGCAGAGCAATGATCACCTAATTGAATTCTTGCAAGAATCAGGTAAACTACAGCCCATTCACAAATGCCCAGCACTCTGCTCCCAGCCTCAGGCTTCTGGAGCAGATGCTTTCTCAGTGTTAGAGTAAGGGTCTCATTAGCTGAGATGTGGTTTTATGAGGAGAAGAAACTAACTGCTTTCTCCTACTTGCTGATTAAGTTTACTTGCCTTACCTAAATATTTCATGTTGTGAAACTCACAGTTTATAAACCATTGCACCAAATATTTTCTTTTCACATTACATTAGAAGTTTTCATGTCACCTGGTAGTCAGCTACTCTTTCCTGGGAAAACCCAAACCTTGATCCTCTAGGGATTTTTCATGGGAAGAAATCCATTCAGAGTCAATTACCTCATTTGAAACTATTCCAAGTATTCTAATAAATGAAACTACTAAGCTAGTGGTTATACATACTGTCATAGACTGTGTCTGCACATATAAATGGAGGAATTGCTTTCGTGTTAGAATGACCTGAGAGTGAACTGAAAACTCAGATTCTGCCCAAGCTTGTGAAGGTGTTCAACTGGCTTCTAGACCTCAATGCATCATACTTTCTTGCTATATTTTCATCACTTATAGTAAATGGTGGAAGTACTCAATTTGCTGGGATGAGATTGGGGAAATATTTTTTAAATCCTAATAAACAGGCCTCAGGAAAATAGTTGTTTGGATGGCTACAAGATGTAATAGTACTGCTTCTACTTGTGAGAAACATCTGTCATCAACATTCCCAAGAAACCGAATTGCATCCATTGCCTTGTTAGGTACATGGTTTATTCACCAGGTACAAAGATGTTACTTTAAATCATGAAAGTGAAATCCTTTCCAGTTGTGTGACCATAACTGAGCAAAAAGAGAAAATTTCACTGAAGAGATTTTTGTGTTGTTAAACTATTGTTTGTTTGTGCCTTTAAAAATTGGATTGAATCAATTAATTTACACTAATTTGGTAATTTTTAGATAATTTCACAGCATTAGAATTTTTATGAAGATATTTTCTGAGTAAGTGAGAATATTCAAATACATTTATACAATATGTACTGGATTAACTTGAATATTTTTATACTTCTAAAAGGCTGAGATAATGGGAAGCTATTGTACTATAACCACTTTTACTATTTCTGAATCCCTTGCTGAGACATATGCTGCCATACGTTCTACGAGAACACAAAGTCTTATCGGGTACTTGTATTCACTGTCCATAAAAAATTCATTGATGTCCTGGATCAAGGACAAGATTTACAATTTGAATCTTGAAATTTGAATCTAGTAACAGAGAAAGGAAGCCAGTTCAATATTCCTTTTTTACACAGGAATCCAATAAATGTCTTCAAGATCCTATACATTCATAGGAAGTGTCTGCTTTGGAAGATTAAACTTTTAAAAGATAGAAAATTAATCAGAATATGCAAAAATATTTGTTTTTCATGCTAAAATCTGATAGATACTTCCATTTTTGTCAGATAATAAGTTGAATATTATATATATATATATATATATATATATATATATATATGAATTAGAGAATTTTAGTGTACATGTCATACCAGCTATGTTAATGGTATATGTGAACAAATGTCTATTTTGTGCTGGAAGTTTCAGAAGGGCTACTGTATGTTAATCTAATATTATCTCAGCAGACATGATAATAAATGCACAGAGAAACCCATGGTTAAAGAAATATTTTATCCTGTGATTTAAATTTGTTTTCTTTTAGGAAACATGCTCTTAAATATTTGGTAAATTAAACTCTGTGGTATACAGTACAGTATAAATACTCTATTTTGCTGTATGATGCAAATGATGAAACTTCCCATTGGACCTAATCTCATTAAATCTAGCATTGATAATTAACCAGAATAAAATCAGTAAAGATTGACAGAAATAAGACATGAAACAAGAACAGGACGTTGATGACCTTATTCCCTTGTATTCTTAAGCAGGTGTGCCTTTGTGTCTACAGCTTCAACACCTGTAGATCTTCTGAGACCAGAGGAGGACTGCAAAATGGATGCAGTAAGGTTCACCCACAGCTGGCTTCTAAAGACAACTCAGATTCTTTGTGAGCATTTCCCTCCACTATCATATTCATGTTAAAATAACATTTAAAAGAAAATATTATTAAGTATACAAATGACGATGATATCTTTACTGTTCTCGTGTTTCTTATTACACAAAATACTTTTGTTCACAGGTAATTATTGCTGACACGCACAATGAAATAGGTATTTCCGAAGCCATTGACTTTTAGTCCTGAAGTCATTTATGTGTTATGATTGTGCTATTCTTTAAATCATGGAATATGTCAACAATGCTTATTAGATGAACAGATATCTGCCTTTTTAATTTGGATCCTATGCACACAAAATCATTGAGTGCCAATAATGGCTATCATGTAGATTTCAGTCATTGTATAAATTCTTTACATACAATAATACTTAAAAAAAACAAAATGAATCAACCTTTGTGTGGTTAAATGATGAAATTGAGGTAAACCAAGGTTTTGTTCTTTGCCCATCATCACCTAGACAGCAAACAAATGAACCTGACATTGCAACACAAGTGCTGAAGCTCACTGTCCACTTTGCTCATTAGTGTGCTGTGCTGTGTCTCCAGGGAGATCTCAGGTCTTGTGCAGGTGCACACTTGATGTGGAACTCAGAGTCACGATCTGGTCACTGTAGTTACCTAATCATACCTTTCTGGATAACATTTTTAATATGCAATTATGAGGCAAAAATTATATTGTGCTATGTAAGTATGAAAAATGAGTAAAATGCCAACAGAAAACAAAAATACAGTGGAACTAAGGTTGTATACTTTTGGGCTGAAAAAGATTCTGAGGTTATCTGAATTCTTCTCTTTTTTTAATGTGCAAAGTGAGACATATTCATGATTGTAGTTAGTAAAATGACAAGAATTCCTGCCTTCTCATACTCAGGATATACTTTCCATTGAGAACAGGATTTTCTTTTATCTGCACAGTGAACTTCTATTTCTGAATACTCTTAGTTCTAAGAAACATTCTGTATAAAACAATGGTAGGTGTTCACTATTTCTCATTTTCTGTTTTCATCCTCTTTCATTACTGAGCTCATGCCAAGTGTTTGGAAAAAATGGTTACTAACTGATAATGATAGATGATGACACTTATGGATTATTTCAATTCTTCTAGAAAAGATATATTGAAAACCACGCTAGTGTAGGCAATATATTAGAAATTGGTCTAGGCAAGAATGAAATGGGTATAATTCTAGCTTCCAAACAGTTGACACATATTCGGGTAAAGCAATTGCTCCAGGATGTAATGTGTTAATAATTTTGTAATTATCTGATAAATTCATAGAACAATTTTTGAAATTTTGTGAGAGATTCATGCAGATGGAAAATCTCCTGAAATGTGCAAGGAATCTGTCTTGCACTGCAACAGCATAGTGCTGAGCTGGATGCCCCAGGAGAGGTGTTAGTTTTGCTGTTGAACATATAATGTGATAAATTGCTCCCTCAAAATACTACCAATTTGGAAGCACACTTTCTTACCTTATATATTTAAGGCTCATTTCCATGTCTAGAAGCTTAGACAGTTTGAAATTAAAAACCCATTTCTGTCATTTGTGGATTTTGTGCCATGAAATAACATTTAAAAGAAAAAAGTTATAAAAATGCGAATGACTGTGATTGCTTCACTTTCCTCTTCAGAGGCTGCTAGTTAGAAAGTGTTACACACAGGCTGAGCAAAATCATCCCAGGGAAAAATAAAGCATCCCTAAAAGAAGGTCCTTTGAGTCATTCTAAGGATGAATTGTTTGTAAGTTTTCACTGTGCGTTCAGCACTGTGGAAGATAGTGATGAGGATGTGCTCTGTGACAGATTAGATCATGGTCCTTTTAAATTTATTCCAAGCCCTGTTTTTCTAAGCTCTCCCCTCTGAACCAGGCCTTCTTGACTGAATGGGACTCAGAAAAAATGTCACAGAATTTGTCCTCCTTGGCCTCACTCAGGATCCCAATGTACAAGCAGCATTATTTGTCATGTTTTCACTCAGCTACACCTTGACAATGCTCAGCAACTTGCTCATCACTGTCACTGTCTTCACCAGCCCCTCCTTGGGCTCCCCAATGTACTTTTTCCTTGCCTATCTCTCACTCATGGATGCTGCTTATTCCACTGTCATCTCACCCAAGTTGCTTACAGACCTTCTCAGTGACAGAAAGACAATATCCTTCCCAGCCTGCATGGGTCAACTCTTTATAGGGCATCTATTTGGTGGTGTTGAGGTCTTCCTTCTGGTGGTGATGGCCCTTGACCGTTACGTGGCCATCTGTAAGCCTTTGCACTATTTGACCATCATGAATCGGCAGTATTGTATCCTTCTGTTGGTGGTGGCATGGGCTGGAGGGCTTTTACACTCTGTTGTGCATTTGGTCTTTGTATATAATCTCCCCTTCTGTGGCCCCAATGTCATTGATCATTTCATCTGTGACATGTACCCATTACTGGAGCTTGTGTGCACTGATACCTACTTTATTGGCCTCATGGTGGCTGCCAATGATGGAGCCATCTGCATGGTGATCTTCATACTCCTGCTCATCTCATATGGCTTCATCCTACACTCTCTAAAAACTCACAGTCAACAAGGGCGGAAAAAAGCCCTTTCTACCTGCAGCTCCCACATCACCGTGGTTGTGCTATTTTATGTTCCATGTATTTTCATGTATGTTAGACCTGTTTCCAACTTTCCTGTTGATAAATTCATAGCTATTTTTTGTACAGTGGTTACTCCTATGTTGAATCCTTTAATATATACATTGAGAAACTTAGAGATCAAAAATTGCATGCAAAAACTCCTGCATAAGATTTTAACCACAGGTACCATACAGAGGTCTTTATGTTCAAAATATTGTTAACTTTAAAGAAACCAGAGGCAGTGGATTCCAACAAGGGAGGATGTAACCAATTCAATGACTTGCTAGATATTTATCCACTGTATTTTTACAAGACCATGAAGAAAGCAAAAAAAAAAATATTCTTTGAGAATCATTCTAATAGACAAATTCCTGAAAGTAGGAAAAAACTCAGGCGTGTGTCATATTACAAGTAATGGTAATGAGATTACCATTGTAAGTTTAATTATCTCAGGTCAGATTGAAATAGGTCTTTAAAGACCTGGAATTCTTTTAATAATGAAAATTAAACTACTTTTCAAAATTTACTATTAGCTACACTCATAAAAAAGAATATGACAATTGTAAGAAGCATATTTTCTGAGACTAAAAAAGAAAATTTTAAATGGTGTTATTCATTATTTATCATCATATCAGATTTATGAATCTGCATTATGTGCATTATATTAGGATTACTTTCATGTCTATATTCTCAGTTCAGATGTTTGTATAGCAGTTGATATCGTGTTTAGCTAAAGACATTGTCAGAGAAGATTTGTGAAATGTGTTGAAGTTGTTGATAGTTCTTAACTACAAATGATAGTTCTTAACTACATTAAGATAAATACATTGTTTCAAAATATATAATGAGCTAAATGGGAAATATATTTTTATGATACCTCTTTCTAATTAGTTTGTGTAATTTTGTCATAGTTTAAGAAGTAGTTATTTATTTAATTTCCATGACACTGAAGAAATCCATAACTATCTTCTCTAAAACCAGCTTGGTCCTAAAAGGTAGTGTTAAATTTCAATAATTTATTCACAGATAAAAAATTATTTTGTTAGGGTGGAAATTTTTTGTTTCCACTTTACATAACCAAGAAAACAAATTTTTTAGTCTGCTTGCATGTTAGAACATCACACATCAGGAAGGAAATCATATGGAAATAGCATATGGAAATATTAACTATACTTGTAGAGATTGTCTTTTTGTTTTTACAAATGTATTTTACATATATAAGGTATCAAATGTGATAGCATGGATACATGCAAGTAATTAAAATGTTACACAAGTCTGTCAAATTAACATACTCCTCACTTTATTTACCCAAATTCATTGCTTATGTTGCAAGAGCTATAAAATGTTTTCCTTTAGCATCAATGCCCAATTCAGCGCAACTTTATTACCAGACCTAATGTACATCAGGCCGATACAAAGAAGCAGAGGCAGATATGTGGGAAAAATCTAGAAATCTTCTGTCAATATATTTACTTTTATAACTAAAAATATGTATTTTGAGCTTTTGTAGTTTAAAGCACATTAAAATTTCTATGCATATGCTACAGTATGCACAAAGTTTTCACAAATTCTGTAGTCCTTTACCTAAAACATTATTTATTTATTGAAGATGCTCTTGTGAACTTTCCTGATTCCAGTCCTCTATGTTCCCTCCAGTGGTAATCACAATGCTAAACATTTTGTGAATAACTAAAAGTAGTTAAAAAGTTAATGTATGTTTCTTAAATTATTTCACATATGTATGCTTATTACTCACTTTTATTAAAATTTTATTAGACAGGCCATAGTTTTCTGAGTTTTATATCCATAATACTATTTTCTAAGATTTGGTCATGTCACTACCTATTATTTTAGACTCAGAATTTCCCTTGCTGTATCTGATTCCCTCATTGAATGTCCACATATTATATATCCATTTGATCCAGAGTCAACTGAACTGTTCCTGTTTTTATATTTCAAATAATACTCCCATGCACATCCTAAAGAAATTACTTTGTGTTAAACAGGATACTTATACATCCACTTTTACATATAATTGAGTTTTCCCACAGGCTGTATTATAAATTATGCTGTGACCAGCAATGCATAACAGATTTTTGTGTCTAGATGTACCCCCAAACCTTAACATAATAATAAGGCCTTTTTAGAGGTGGCTGAATCTAGATTATGTGATGCTGTGATTAGGGGTGTGAACTTAGTAAATCTGTCCACTGATTGGTTTGTCATAGTTCTGGTTAGGATGATGAGTGTGAGTGTCCTGGTGTATGCAGCCGGTATACTGTTTAAGAGAAGAAAAGACTCTCAACTTCCCTTCTTTTGTTGTCTTTGTTGTTTTCCACCACTATGCACTGTTGTTCCTATTCCATGTGCCACTCTACCTTGGAGACCACTGAATATGGACTAACATCTCTACAAACTGTGAGCTAAATAAACCTTTGCTCACCTAACTTGTGGATGTAAGATATTTTATCTCAGCAATGAGAAAAGCAGTGGAGAAAATTTGATACCACAAAAGTGGGTTGTTGCTGTGATTTACCTGACCATGTAGTTCAGGAGTCTTAGGGAAGGGCTTGAAGGAAAAGACTGGGAAGTTTCAGAGATGTGACTGAAAAAGTAATGAAGAAACACTTTAGCTTGTACCATATGGGAGATTCTAGTTACAATATCAATATGAAAGACCAGAATATTGGTCAAGACCAGACTCAGGAAGAATCTACTGGGAAGGCGCATTGCTTTGGTGGCCAGACTCCAGATGATGTATGTTATGCTTTGGCAGAAAGTTTGCCAGCATTTGGTTCATGTCCAGAGACTTTGTCTGAGACTAAAATTGAGTGATGAACTAATTAATCTTGTATAAGAAATCTCAAGGCAGTCAAATGTTGAGGGTTGGCATGTTTACTGCTGAGGGCTTTTGGATATAGCTACATTAAAAATCAACAACAAGAAGCCAAGAAGAATGATTTAAAATTCTGTGAGTCTGGCCAGAAATGAAGTGCCAGTAAAGCTGTAGACTACAAAGATACAGCACAAAAAAAAATCTTGAGTTCTGAGCAGGAGCAGCTGAATAGAAATGGGGCCTGAGGGCATCACAAGAAGCAACAGACCTCTGCCCTCTCTGCAGACTCAAAATTTCAAAAATGAAAGACTGTTTTGAGAAAAATATGCCAGAGTACCATGTTCCAGAATGGTGCCAGCTTAAAGAATTTGTTCCTAGAATTGGGTTCAGAATGCTTAGTTATTCAGGCACTAAATTCCTACAACCAAGAGAGGAAAGCATGACTACTGCACTAGCAGGTATGAGACCTTGGTCTCATCTATGTGGTGCTGGTTTTAGGTGCCTGCAAAAGGAAGACTTGTGGATCCAAGCAGGTTTCCATTCAGATTTCAGAAGGCTTTATATGTCAGGCAGTGTACCCCTGATAGGGCAGAGTGTGAAGCTTTGAGTACCAAGTCAAAGATTCAGTGATGAACCCAGAAGTTTGGAGAAGCCAGTGCATCATCTGGGGAAGGCTGCAAGGAGTGAGCAGAACCAGCCTAAGAGAGAAGATGAAGGAGCTGTATTCAACTGCAGTTCTGTAGAGGTGTAGCTACCCAACTCCTTAGGAAGTTACGTCTTATTACTGATTGCCTTTGATACTGCACGTGGACCTATAGGATTTACCATTTGCCCTGCTTGATTTTGATCATTTTGTGTTCATCCCTTGGTATCCAATTGTGTATAATTTTTGGAATAGAAATGTCTGTTTTGTGCCATTGTGTGTTGGAAATGTTTAATTTCTGTACATCTTTTTTTTTATTTAAAGAGAAAGAAACAAAAAAATACATGGAGATAAAAAAAGGGTAGAAATAATACACACTTACAGAAAAATAAACGGTAAGAAATCACCAGTTGATAAGTTACATATTGTCACCTTAGATATCCAAAAATGGGCATCTGAGATGAATAAACACTTCTCAGAGGAAGAAATACAAATGGCAAATAAATATATGAAAAAATGTTTATCATCATTGATTATTAGGGAAATGCAAATTAAAACCACACTGAGATTCCATCTCACTCCTGAAAGGATGGCCAGGATCAAGAAAACCAACAACAAGTGCTGGAGAGGCTGTGGGGAAAAAGGAACTCTCCTACACTGTTGGTGGGAGTGTAGACTGGTACAACCTTTGTGGAGGTCAGTCTGGAGATTTCTCAAAAGCTGGGATTGGAAGTCCCATTTGTTCCAGCTATTCTGCTATTAGGCATCTTCCCAGAAGAACTGAAAGCATCATACCAAAGTGATATATGCGTACCTATGTTTATAGCAGCACAATTTGTAATTTCCAGATCATGGAAACAACCCATATGTCCATCAACCGAGGAATGGATAAATAAGCTGTGGTACTTCTATACAATGGACTACTACTCAGCTATAAAGAAGGATCACATTGAGGTATTTATCAATAAATGGGCACAGCTTGAAACCATACTCATAAGTGAACTAAATCAAAATTGCATCTGTGAACTCCAAATAGTTTCCCTAGTGTAGGAAATGAATCAAATATATAAAAGGACATGATAACCATGATTCCCCATTATATGGCCTTGAAGCCTTATAAAATTTTCACTCATTAATTGGAATGGCTTTATTCTGGGCTGTTTGATATTATGGCTGGTGATGCAATGAACAGCTACTTTGAAGAAAATAAGACATAATAACAGCTAGTGCCAATTTAATACCATCTTGTCTTAAAGCCGCACCAAATTATGGTTCTTCTGTCTCCATTGATTTTATCATGTTGTAACTTGCTGGATTTTATCGTATGTGGTAGTATAAACAAAAATTGTTATAGGTAAAGAGATAATATTGAAACCATTGATCATTTTTCTGTTACCTGGTTCTAAATATTCTACAATGCTTTCATCCACTTGAATGGTGTTACACAGTCTTGATATGTTTGATGCTATAGTATATGAAGTTATATTCAAATATTTCAAAGAAAAAGACACTATGGTAACTACTATTAAGTCAGGTTATTTGGTGGTGAAGCACTAGGTTGCTGACAGTGTCATGCTTTAACCTGTATTGTTATGTTGTTATGCCCCCTTTTATCTCATCCTCTCCCTTATTCATTAAAAAATTATTTAATTTAAAAATATCAACCGATAAAAAATGCTGCTGGATCTGTAGGGAAAAAGAAACCCTTTACAACTGTTGGTTTGAGAGTAGACTAGTACAAA